TCAAACTTAGGTTGGACATTCCGGAGAATCTTGTCAAGGGTGCGTACATCGTTGCTGCTCGCCTCCGAATGGAGGAAGTTCGCTCGGAATGCGCCAAATTCATGCTAGAGAATCTGAGCCCCGACAATTGCCTCGGAATCCGCTCGATCCTGGGAATCAAACATGATCCCAATTTCGCCGAAGCGATCGACAACTACATCCGCAAAGAGGTTAGTTCTTCATCTGCTTTTCTCAGAAAATTCGTTTCGTGGGAAAAGGAAAATTATTGATCGGGAACTTCACGACGCGAACGCGGAGGATTCCGTCAAGTACCGGAGTGGATGAGAGAAATCTCGTAATTTTTCGGTTCGTGAAAATGCGTTTTAAAATTCTTTTGTCAATCCCGTGTCATGAATTTTACTATGCAATTATGTTGAATGCTTGCGAATGAATTCGGCGCCACTGGATTGCTACACAGATCGTTAGCCGGCGTAATAGCGCCTTGTCATCGAGCCGGTTGGATCCCGTCTCGCTTCCCGGTTGATGTTGGGCAGCCAGGGGTTTGTCTCAACGTACTACTCATCACTTTCTTCACTGGCTTCACGCCAGGTGGGTCAGGCGAGGTTCATAGCTCTAACCGAGCGGTCTACATCCACAAATTTTGTTGTTGCTTTCCTTGGAAGTTTTTTAAGAATTTGACTACCTTTACTCAGGAATTCCGGCCATTTTAGTTCCCATAAAAAATCTGACTTCCGGGATCCATTGGCGCTACATCAGAAAGGCTCCGCGTGACAATTGCCACCATAATTTCTTCAAATGAATAATCCAATTATATATGGTTTTGTGAAGGAATCAAGTTTTTGTAAAATTGTAACTTCAACAACCTTACGAACGAGGATATGAAAAAAGTGGGTTTCTGTCCCGCGAAGAAAACAGGCAAAGAACAACCACAATTTTAGGCTGGGCTTGTATGGTTTAAGACGGGATGTCGTGGGTGGTGTTCTTGCTTCGATATTTTAAGAAAATAACTGGTTATCTATTCCAGTTTTGTCCAACTCGGCTGCGGCCAAGGGCCACATTGCAAAGGTGAAGAGTCCTTACGGCCCAAAATGTTTCCCTTTTAAAGAAAACGTTAATTCAGTGCCACCGATTGAATCACAAGCATATCCACAGAATTTTTGAAGGGGTGGATCAGCATTTCGGATGTTTAAATTCGTCTTTCGACATAGCGGATATGTTGAAGTTGTTTCTGAAAACAATTTAAAAAAGAATTGGGTCGCGAGAGAGCAATTATCTAACTTATAGGCCAAGTTCACCTAAAGAAGATGAGATTGTTGAGGCCTAAATAAAAAAAACTTGCTCTGTCCGTGTGACATTACTGCCA